AACTGCTTCCATCATCTGTCAATCGGCTCGTCACAAGAGTCCATCACGACAGAAACCCAATATTTTTACTGTTGCCTTTACACACACACACACACACACACACACACACACACATATAACATTTTCTGTTTCAAATGAGAAATCTGCCATGTTTTTATTACAATTGCTTTTTTGTTTTCTACTGTTATGATCGGCTCAGGTTAGTATTATCAGGCAGCTCTGGACATGGGAATTTATTTTGTTTTTGTTTCATAAGGTCGTACTGGCTGGATCCCATCTGTTAACTCCACAACTTGTAGAGCACTTGGTACGGGGCCTTCACCCAGCTCAACCTGAAAGAGCCCTGAGGCTTCTACAGGAGACAGTGGACAAACTGAAATCATACACTGGCCAGGCACCAAGTGGCCACCTGGTGCTTGTGCTGGATAAAGTGAGTAAGGGTGGAGCTATGCTATTTTACCGGAAGGATGAGCAAATGGCAAGGGCAGCATTCTTGCATTGTGCAAGATGTTGCTGCCTGGGTTTTCTTCCCATGGAAACATGTAGAGAGAATCATCATGAAATATTTTGATCTTCTAAATGTTCCAAGACTGGCCCAGCAATTTACCATATTATTGACTTGCTTCATCCAATAAATGTTTTATGGCGGGAACTGAACACTTGATCTTTCTTTGCAGCATCTCCAGAAGCTTCCTTGGGAAAACATACCATGCTTAAGAAACCAGTCAATAACCCGGTTACCATCTCTACACTTTCTGCTTAGCTACTCACTTATGAAAAAGGTGAGGTATCTGTAACTTTCTGGAGGCTGAGAGCTTGACTCAGATATGTTCTTTTCCACCACCCTTTGCTGATGCATTTAATAGCAATTTTAACCCTATCACTAAATAACGGTTCTTTTGCAACTAAAGAGTGTTGCCTCATTATTGAAGTCTAGAGAGAAAATGTGTGCTTAATACCGTATTTTTCAGAGTATAAGACGCACCGGAGTATAAGACACGCCAAGGTTTTGAAGACGCAAATTTTAAAAAAAGTAGGTAGGGAGAGAAATACAGTGGGTAGGTAGGGAGAGAGAGAGAGAGAGTAGGTAAGGTAGGTATAGAGAGAGAAATACAGTAGGTAGGTAGGGAGAGAGAGAGNAAAATGAGGACCCAGATTGTTGGGGCAATATGCTGACTCTCTGTAAACCGCTTAGAGAGGGCTGAAAGCCCTATGAAGCGGTATATAAGTCTACTACTGCTAATCCAATTTAGCACATTTGTTCTGCCTATATTACAACTACTTTCCTCCTTCAGTCAAATTAAAATTTGCAGTTTAGTTAGTTGGTTTACTTTCTTGATTAGTGCTTGTGCCATATCGAAGTGCAAAGTTCCAGACACAAATTATTACTAAAATCTGATTTAATTTTTAAAAAAATGGAATTGGAATAAAATATAATTTAAAATAAAATGGAATAAAATACAATAATTTAATATGTACATAAATAAAATATGATAAAATTACATTTCAGTATCAGCCCTACAATCTACCCCAATCTCAACCGAACCATTTTACTTAAGTACTGTGCTGTGTTAAATATTATTTTCAGATTCTGGCCACACATAAGTTAAGTTTTTTTGATAGGGGGATCCCAATGGGTCATTCGCTTGATATATAGACCAAGGTATCTGTCTCTCGCCCCCTTATACAAGCAACAATCAAATAGGATGTGAGCCAGGTCTTCTACCTCTGCCGTTCCACAAATGCAGAGACGTCCATTGTAGGACATAGAATGGGATCTCCCAAATCTGACCATTGTGTCAGTCCTGTTGGTGGCTTCACCTCTGCTCTATAGTTTTCAAGGAATCTAATGCCCATGATGTCCATGGTCCTCTGGACATAAATTGGGTTGAATGGGGATAATGAGATTGTTAAGCTAACCACATGTAAAAGGCACTGCATTGGACAAAGCTGAACTAGTGACAAGCTTGAAACTTTCTGAGTTCAACAAAAAGAATGGGAAGAGGAGATCAAGACTGCCAGGATGATATGCTGTCTTGATTGTGCAATCAAATCTGATTACTTCATGCTCCGTTCTTTCAAGTCCTTCTTCCCCAACACTGCCCATTCACATCCAATGAACTTTGTGCCTTTGATGGGAATCAGAATCAGGTCAAAGGCAGGATCCTCCAAACCACAATGCTGTTGTGCTGTTCTGCCCCCCCCCTTTTTTTTTGTTAAAAAGGACTCTTCTGCTTGACTCCACAGGCGTTGATAGATTCTCTGGAGACACATGTGCTAAGCTGCTGGAAGGTTGCACTACTACCAGCCTCTGAGAATGACAGCTTGGTGGAAGAAGCCACCCATCTCCTAACAAATCTCAGAGAATGTGGTTGTGAAAAGGTTGATCTAGCTTTGCTTAAGGTAAGGAGATGGGCAGGCTTTGATCATAGAAGGTGAGGTTAGCCAGGTATACCTTGTCTTCAATGGGATGAATATATATACATATACATATACATATACATATACATATACATATACATATATATATATATATATATATATATATATATATATACACACACACACACACATA